ATATAAAACCTGTTGCTAAGTTTGGGGGTGGATAGAACCCTATATCTTGCCACAGACAAGTCCACAGTCCCCAAGCATTTCTTTCAGAGCAGTAGTTCTCAATCTTCTGAATGCTACAACCCCTTAATACAGTTCCTCATGTTGGGATGACCCCCAACCATAAAATTATGTTCATTGCTACTCCATAACTGTAATTTTGCTGCTGTTATGAATCATAATGTAAATATCTGATATGCAGGATGTATTTTCATTCACTGAACCAAATAGGGCACAAATACCTGATATACCCAAATTTCAGTGCTGGTGGGGTTGGGGGCAGGAAATTGATTTTTGTCATTTGGGAGTTGTAGTTGCTTTGATTGATAGTTAACCTACAATCAAAGAGCATTCTGAACTCCACCAACAATGGAATTGAACCAAATTTGGCACACAGAACTCCCATGACCAACAGAAAATACTGAAATGGTTTGATGGGCATTGACCTAGAGTTTTGGAGTTGTAGTTCACCTACATCCAGAGAGCACTGTGAAACAATGATGGATCTGGACCAAACTTGGCACAAATACTCAATATGGCCAAATGTGAACACTGGTGGAGTGTGGGGAAAATAGACCTTGACATTTGGGGATTGTAGTTGCTGGGATTTATAGTTCACCTATAATCAAAGATCATTCTGAACCCCACCGATGATAGAATTTGGCCAAACTTCCCACAGAGAACCCCATGACCAACAGAAAATACTGTGTTTTCTGATGGTCTTTGGTAGCCTCTCTGACACTCCCTCACGACACCCCCCACCCGGGGTCCCAACCCCCAGGTTGAGATACACTGTTTTAGAGGGACCTAAACCATGGGCTTCTATATAGCTGCTGAGTCTGGCTAAATTGAATGGGACTCTCTTTTTGCCCTCCCTCCTTGAATATTGATTAGGATTCAAACCAAAGTTTGGATGTTATTCTTAAACAATTGTTGAATCTTTCAGTTGCATCATGAATTTTGATATGTTTGTGGTACAGTATGCAATGCTATTTTACAGATTTAAGAGACAAAGTATTTACATACAGAACCTTGGATCCACATTTAGGTAGTTATATTTGAAACAAACCACCAGAAATCAGTACAACTCAAATTAATCGTAACTAGTTGAAATAGCTGATTTAGCTAATCTGCTCTAAGTATGGCTAGACCTCAACACAATCTTATATTGGTCCCAAATAAAGTAGACCCATTGAATCAATGGGAACTTACATATTAACTTGCAACATAACAAACAATTTATTGTATCTACTCTACTTTGGAATAACCAACAGGATTCAGACCTGTACTTCTTCAGGAAGCATTATACAATGACAAAGAGCAATACTTGTTGGGCAGCATACAATGCACAGTTATATACAACCACATGCCTATTTGTATTGGATTGCAGACATTGAAAACATTGTGTTGTCAAAGGCTTTCGTGGCTGGAATCACTAGGTTGCTGTGAGTTTTCTAGGCTATATGGCCATGTTCTAGAAGCATTCTCTTTTGACATTTCACCCATATCTATGGCAGGCATCCTCAGAGGTTGAGGGGTCTGTTAGAAACTAGGCAAGTGAGGGTTTAAAAAAAAAACCTCTAAAATCAGGACAGTAAAAAAGCAGGGGGTTCCAGACAAGAATCCATCAGGGACAACTAACACTTCCAAAAAAAGGATTCCCCCAGGCAGCAATCAGCCAGGCTTTGAATATGCAAGGCCATTAAAAACTAATCAAGGTGGCCAATTCCAACATTCACGCTTGCCTCAGTTATTTCTCCTGCCCTGGACATTCCACAAATATACAAGCCTCGCTTGCCTAGTTTCCAACAGATCCCTCAACCTCTGAGGATGCTTGCCAAAGATGTGGGTGAAATGTCAGGAGAGAATGCTTCTGGAACATGGCCATACAATCCAGAAAACTCACAGCAACCCATTGAAAAACATTGTAAGAATATTTGACAATAGAATAAGAAATCTGATAAACATTTAATTGATTATGTTATGAAAATGGTCCTGATTAATCTTACAGTCCCGCTTTTTCTAAGATTTTGAATATAAACCAATGCACACTTATCAGTTCTTAAAAAGGCTTACTGAACTCTGAGAAACAGGTTGCAACCAATGTATACAGGTAAGATTTTTTGAAAAACAGGTATAAAAAGGCATGCTGTGCTTGTAGTCTTTCTTCAAAGAGAAACCTCTCCAGTAAGTATAACAAGAGAAAGGCTAACCATAGAAAAGTAGTGGAATCATTGCAACAAAAGAATGGGATATGCAACCCTTTCAGATATGGCATAAAATCATAGAATCATAGAGTTGGAAAAGACCTTGTGAGCCATCCAGTCCAACCCCCTACCAAGAAGCAGGAAAGTCACAATCAAAAAACCCCCGACAGATTGCCATCCAGCCTCTGTTGAAAAGCCTCCAAAGGAGGAGCCTCCACCACACTCCAGGGCAGAGAGTTCCACTGCTGAGCTGCTCCCACAGCCAGAAAATTCTTCCTCATGTTCAGGTGGAATCTCCTTTCCTGCAATTTGAAGCCATTGTTCCGCATCCTAGTCTCCAGGGCATAAGAAAACAAGCTTGCTCCCTCCTCCCTATGACTTCCCCTCACATCTTGATACATGGCCATCCTGTCTCCTCTCTGCTTTCTCTTCTGCAGGCTAAATATACTCAGTTCTTTAAGCCGCTCCTCATAGGACTTGTTCTCCAAACCCTTGGTAATTTTAGTCACCCTCCTCTGGGCACATTCCAGCTTGTCAATATCTCTCTTCAATTGCGGTGCCTAGAATTGGACACAGTATTATTCCAGATGTGGTCTGACCAAAGCAGACTAGAGGGGTAGCATGATTTCCTTGGATCTAGACACTAGACTCCTATTTATGCATATAGAATCAGTGATTACAAACATATATAACTTTTAACAATTCAGGAGACCACTTTATCTCATAAAAGAACCTAGCTTTTTCTTAAGCTGCCATGGAAATGCATCACTTTTCATGATCAGATGTTTACCTGTAGCTCTGACCGTACAGTAGAAAGAAAGCCACTATAACAGATGGAGAAGGCTGCCCACAAATCATTGAAACTTCTCTAGTCAATAGAGAAAAGTGAATGAAAAAATACAAAATATCTGGGAAACCATGACTGGAACCATGAATGAATATTGTGGTCACAAAGTTTTGTAGTTGATGTAACTTATAAGAGAAGTACATAGTTTTTCACAGAAGCAATGGTTACTTAGTAGGTGAAGGTAAAGGTTTTCCCCTGACATTAAGTCTAGTCATGTCCGACTCTGGGGGTTGGTGCTCATCTCCATTTCTAAGCTGAAGAGTCAGCTTTGTCCGTAGATGCCTCCAAGGTCATGTGGCCAGCATGACTGCATGGAGAACCATTACCTTCCTGCAAAGGCAGTACCTATTGATCTAATCACATTTGCATGTTTTTGAACTGCTAGACTGGCAGAAGCTGATGGGAGCTCACCTCACATCCCAGATTCAAACTGCTAGGTTGGCAGGATTTTACTTAGTAGCATACCCTCAATCTACAAACTTTTTTGATCATATCATGTTTCAGTCAGAAGTTGAAGTCTTCACAGCAACAAAAACAAAATAAATTATACTTAGAAGCATTCTCCTAGAATCAGAGAATCAAGGAATTGGAAGAGACCTCATGGGCCATCCAGTCCAACCCCCTGCCAAGAAGCAGGAATATTGCAACCCAATCTCACAGTTTAAACCAACGATCACATTATATTATGCCAATATAGACACCTGCTTTCTTTCCATATCAGCAGATGAATGCATTTCACAGCTGAGTCAATATATGAAACAGAATCTAGCATTTCTTCTTTCAAAAAACATGCATTTTGTTCAAACTTAACACTCCTGTTAAAAAACCTCCTTTTACTGTGTACCTGAAAGCTGTTTTCCAAGCTGGACCTGACTGCTCCACCACAACAATGTGTTCCATGGAGCCAAAAAGCCAAAGGGATGGTTCTGAACGCACAAATGTCCCCAACCCACAGGCAAAGGGAAAGCGAACCTACTTGGAATCAACAGTTCCCACCTTGAAAGCCAGGCAGTCCTTTCCACCAGCCCCACCATCCAGTTCGCAGCACTTTTGCTGCCAGGTCTGGAGCTGGCTTCTCAGCCTCTGGAAAGCTCCCAGACTTCTCCTCCTCCTCCTGCCTCCACGGAGAGACTGGAGCCAGCGAGGAGGGCCGCGAGAGAGAGAGAGAGACCCCTTCCCCCCTCTTCCCAGCCAGCCAGTCACCCTTGGCCATGTGCAGAAGCCCGGGGCTCTTTTGTTGCTTCCCTCCCCTGCCCTCTGCTTCCTTCCTTCCTTGCTTGCTTGCTTGCAGCCAGGCAGGCAGGCAGGCAGGCAGGTCCCGCGCCGCTCCCGGGGACGTGGGCAAACAATAAAGAGAGGTCGAGGGAGAAAGAGAGCGAGAGAGGGGAAGCAGCAGCAGCAGGAGAGCAGCCTCAGCCCAGATCCGGGGAGAAAGCCCCCAACTGACGACCTGCCGGCTTTGTGCCAATAAGGATCCCCTGCGCTCCATTGATCGACCAAGGTCTGGGATGGGGAGGAGGAGGCACCGCGATGGCTCCCCTCCCAAGAGACAGGCGAGAGAGAGAAAGAGAGAGGGAGAGAGATGCTTGGCTTCTCACAAAAGGGACAAGGGGCAAAGGGACGGGGACGAGGCAGTCTCAAAGGGCCACTGAGGCACATCCCCCTTCCCCCCTGTGTTGGAGAAGGCTCACAAAGCCCTGAGCAGCAGGGAAGGTGCCAGGCAAACACAACATATGGGGGTGGGAGGGGGGAGGGAGCGAGAGCGAGCCTGAGGAGCCGAAGCCAACTCCAAGCTGGGGGGGGGGGGAGAGAGAGAGAGAGAGAGAGCAGCTCCCTGGCGGCGCCCCTGCTGGCTCCCTCTTCCAGTGTGGACACCCATATCTCCCGGGGCAGAGGAGCCCTCGACTCACCGTGGTCTTGACTGGCACGTAGAGCACCTGCTTCCCTCCTCCTCCTCCTCCTCCTCCGACCCCAGCGCCGACCTCGTCCGGACGGCTCAGCTGGAAGCCTTTGGATTTGACCCAGAATTTAAATTTGGCGTTGTCCGTGGAGCTGCCTTCGGCGCCGTTGAGGAGCTGGACGATGCGCTCGTATTTCTTGCGCGTCACCGTCTTGGTTTTGCCCGAGTCTCCGTAAGTCCGGAGGCACCAGTCCTGGAACTGGCGGTACATGTCCCGGTCCCCGGCCTCCATCATCACCACCCCCGCAGAGAGACGGGAAGCGGAGGGGCAAGGGAAACAGAGAGAGAGAGAGAGAGAGAGAGAGAGGAGGGCTACAGCCGGGGGCCGGGCTCTCCGCCCTCCCCTTCGAGGGGCACCTGTTCCGCCCGGGAGGAGCGGGGAGGAGGGCTCCTCGGCCCCCGGGGTCCCAGGACGAGGAGGGGAAGGGGGAGGGGGTCCCGCCGCGAGCAGAGCCGGGAGAGGCCTCTCGGGGAGGGGGCGCCCCCTTCTCCTCCTTCTCTTTCCTCTCCTCCTTCGGCCCCTTCTTCTCGGTCCCGACGCGGGGCTGGGCAGTCAGTCCGAGAGGGGCTCCCCGGCAGCCTCTTCCGCCCAACTCCTCGCCTTCCTCGCCGACGAAGCGGGTCCTGCCTCCGGTCCGTGCTTTTTGTCCCTTCCCCGCCGCGACCTCCCTCGGCGCCTCTCCGCCAAGCGCGAGCCCTCCTCCTTCTTCCTTGGCTTCTCGGAGGCAGAAGAAAGGAGGAGCGGGGACGGGGAAATATCATGGAGTCGGCTCCGTCTTCTTCCTCGGGCATCCGCTTCAGCCTGGATGGTGCAGGTTGGGGAAGGAGGCGGGCGGGTGAGGCGGGGGGGGGGGGGCGAGGGAGAGGAGAGGAGAGCAAAGCCCACCCTCCGCCCCAGCAGCAGCCAACCCCGGGCCGCCTTCCTGTGTCTGTCCTGGAAGACCCCGCGCTGGCTTCTCCCTCCAGCGGCCTCGCTCGCTCTGCCCCCCTTTCTCTGTCTCTCTCTCTCCCTCTCTGTGCAGGATGGAGAGAAACGCTGAAGGGCAAATTGGCCTCTCTCTCTCTCTGTCTCTGCCCCCCTCCCTCCCTCCCTCCCCTCCGCCCTTTTATTCCAACCTAAGTCCTCTCTTTGGGTGGGATAGAAAGTTCTTCTCTGGCGAAGGAATCTCAGCAGGTCGTTTCAATCCTGCCAGTTATGGGAGGCTTTACTAATGGGAGGTCGGTCGTCTTGCCTTTATTGGGAAAAAGTATCAGAAGCTTCTTTCGAATTGGTACTGAGGGAGAGAGTGAAATGTGGCGGGGGGCAAAAAGGAGGAGAACCCGGCCTTCGAGGAACTTTGGCGTCCGGAGGCTGCGAGGGAACCGCGCCGCTCTTGGCCCCCGTTTCCCTCCTCTCAGGACTGGGTTTTGGAGGTGCCTCTGCCCCTCCTCGGGTTCTTCTTCTGCCCGGGAAGCCCCAACCCTCTCCCTCTCGACGCCCCTTGGAGCTGGCAGAGGCAGGGGCTGCTCCATGCGACGCCTACTCGCAGCCGAGGCAAGGGAGTCCCTCCGCGCCGCTCCTGCCGCCACCGCCTCCTCCCCGCAGCAGCCGCCGCCGCCGCCTTCCCAGCCCAGACGCGCTCCCACACCGTCTGGCCCGGCGCGCCGCCTCGCTCATGGCTCGCGGTCCCCTCCTGGGTCCGGGATGGCTCTCCTCAGGCAGGCCAATCCCCGCCCCCGCCCTGCCTGCCCCTCAGGCCCCGCCCCCTTCCCTCCATCCCTGAGGGAAAGGGCACCTGGCGCGCCTCCCGCCCCCGTCCCAGGCTGGCCCTTGCCAGGGCCACGGGGTCCCGCCTCCTCCGCCTCTCCTCCCCCCGCCCTTTCGGCTCTTTCTCTCGCTCTCTCTCCTTCCCTCCCCCGCTCTCTGCTCAGTGGCTCCAACTGGAAGGTCTCGCCGCCGCGCAGGAACCGGGACTGACAACCCCGCGCCAGCCCAGCTCCTCGCTCTCTCTCTCTCTCTCTCTCTCTCTCTCAATCCCTCGCCTTTTCCCCCTCCCTCCCCCTCCCACTCCTCTGATTGGCCAGCGGGACAAAAGTTTCTGTGGAGACAGAGGCTGAGCCGGCGACGTGACGGGCAGAATTGTCCCATTTAGGGATGCCGGGCCGTGCGCAGGCGGGCAGAGCTGCGGGGGCAAGAGCGAGGGGCGAGGGAGCGGAAGAGGGGCAGTGAAGGAAGGGAGGGAGGGGGAGGGAGGGAGGCATCTCCCCGTCCTCCCGAGACAGCCAGGTGGGGGGAAGGGGGAGGGGCTGCCAGGGGAGCGTTTCCATGGAGACTTCTCCTGGTCTAGCCTAGGCGCTCTCTTTCTCTCCCCCCCCCTCCCGCCGCCCTCCACCTCCTCCTCCTTCTCCCCCTCCCCTCGGATCAGCTGACACCTCATTAGCTTAGGACCTAATTATTGCTTATCGGAGCAACAAATGAGCGGGCGGGGAGGGCGCGTGGGCAGCCCGGCGGGTGGGGGGAGCAGTCCCGAGCGGATTCTCCTCAACTTGACGCCGGCGCCCGCCCCGGAGCAGCAACCCACCCTCTCTCCCTGCCTCCCTCCGGGTGGACAGCTCCTCCATTCCGGACTGGTGGAGCGGTCGCCCTGGGCGCCTACTTGGAGGGGAGCCGGCCACGCCTCTGAAGCAGGAGCCCTTGGGAGGCCAGGGCTCCCTCACCACCTCAGAGGGCAGGGCCTCTGCCTGGCTTTGCAGAACCAACCTGGGACGCTCTTCCGTCTCCTTGCCAATTGACTTGCCAATTGCAATATTCACACCTGACTCAAGCAGACAAGAGTTCTTTCTCCCACCCTGGACAATCCAGAGATATGTAAACCTCACTTTCCAACAGACCTCACAACCTCTGAGAATACCTGCCATAGATGTGGGCAAAACGTCAGGAGAGAATGCTTCCTGGACATGGCCATAGAGCCCGGAAAACTCACAACAACCCAATGATTCTGGCCATAAAAGTCTTCGACAATACACTAATCAGGGTGGCCAATTGCAATATTTACGCTTAGCTCAAGCAGACAAAAGTTATTTCTCCCACACTGGACATTTCCCAAATATATAATGCTCACTTGCCTCGTTTTCAACAGACCTCACAACCTCTGAGGATGCCTGTCATAGATGTGGGCAAAACGTCAGGAGAGAATGCTTCTGGGACATGGTCATACAGCCCAGAAAACTCACAGCAAGCCAGTGATTTCCGCCATGAAAGCCTTCAACAACACATTATTTCCCTTCTGTTGCCTTCTGATCCACTTCACACCCACCCTGTCCCTGGGAGCCCCTCTAGCATGGCTTTTGGGAGAAGAGCACTGCGCTTTCTCCTTTGAGGGCCTCTTCCAAAAAGGGAGACTTTGGAGGTGGGCGGTGGGGCACTTCAGAAAATAGGTCCCTAGCTGGACCAGAAGGGCCCTTAGGACTGAAATCCCAGGCCTGAAAAAGGAAGCAAACTTCCCATTGATCCCAAGATAAAAGCAATATATGTTCTTCCCAGAAAATGACTAAGAAGTAAATTTGTTTGGGTTCAGTGGCACTTAAATCCAAGGGAAACTTGCCCAAGAAAGTAACTTTATAGTTTCCTGAGGGGAGAACATGTGGGGTAACAAAGCAAGAACATCAAGTGGGGGGAAATAGCCAAAGATATTGAAATGTAAGGTTATGACATCTTTCACTGAATGTACACATGTGGAATGTAGTTATTTCTTCTGATTTGCCTACTTCTTTTGGGTAAGTTCATGACTGAAGTCAGGAGTTCACTCCTTTGAGGGAAATGTGTCGCTGTCCATAGTGCTTAGCTCTGCACTGAAAGACTGGCAGATTTTGTGTGTGTCAGAAGCAGCTTGAGAAACTGCAAGTCACTTCTGGTGTGAGAGAATTGGCTGTCTGCAAGGACGTTGCCCAGGGGACCCCCAGATGTTTTACCATTCTGTGGGAGGTTTCTCTCTTGTCCCCGCATGGGAAGCTGGAGCTGACAGATGGGACTTCGCCTCATCTCATGTATTTGAACCACCCACCTTCAAGTCAGCAGTCCAGCCGGCACAAGGGTTTAACCCAGTGGTTCTCAACCTGTGGGTCACCAGGTGTTTTCACCTACAACTCCCAAAAATCCCAGCCAATATACCAGCTGTTATGATTTTGGGGAGTTGAAGGCCAAAACATCTGGGGAGCACAAGTTGAGAATCACTAGTTTAACCCATTGCGCCACAGCAGATATCTTTTACGCAGTTAGGTGGGAATGTGTTGGACCACTGGGTGAGAGGATGGAGTTTTGGTTCAAGTGCATGTGTAACCTGTCTATTTTAGCTTATAACTAATAAAGGTTTGTCAGTGATAAATGGCATACCTGACCATTGTGTTTGTGTGAACACACAAACACAATACAGACACATACATACAGACATATTCAAAATCCCACATTTTGTTAAATATTTTTAACCTATCCTTTAAAAAAGTTTCTAATTTTTTAAAAAAATGTGAAAGGAATCAAATAAAAACACAATAAAACATTAACAAAAATAAAGTGAGCATAAGAGGGCAGCATAAAACCAGACAAAGAAGTGAAAACATACAATTAATGCAAGGAAATGGAAATGACATATTTTGTCCCATGACAAAATGACATCAAGATAAGGGCATTCCTCTACTAAGGTGGCACAATAACTGTAGTTCTTAAGCTTTGTTAGGGTCACAGATCCCTTTGGCAACAATAGACGATAATGGAACTTACTCCCCAGAAAAATATACATAAACATAGGTACACAAGGTTTTATTTTATTGCATTGGAAATGGATTTCCTTTACATAGATGTAATCTATCATTTTAAAAATATAATAACTCATAAAAAGACTAAAGTTTAGATTTTAAAATCGCTTTTTATGGGGAAATTCAAAAAATTGGAAAAGAAATAAAATTTGAAATATCATTTCTGTAGCCATGTTATGAGCCCCTGGTTAACATAGGAAAGGTCCACCTTTTACTCTGGTCAGGGGCAGCTCAACCCATTACACAAAGTAAACATTCGCAGTATAGTTGATTTTGCCCAGGGGCGCTCTTGAGGCGCTCTTGGGGGAAAATAGACCTTGACATATGCAAGTTGTAGTTACTGGGATGTATAGTTCACCTAAAATCAAAGAGCATTCTGAACTCCACCAATGATGGAATTGAACCAAATATGGCACACAGAACTCCCACGATGAATAGAAAATATATATCAATGATTTGGGGGGGGGGGGCAAAATACTGTTTGCTTACCATTGAAAATTACCTAGGGCCGCCTCTGACTCTGGTGGTACTGGACCTGAAAAGGGGACCTTTGAAAAATATCTTAGAGAAACAATGGTTTCATGTCAATGATGGAGCCTCTGGTGGTCCAATGGGCTAAATCCTTGTGCCAGCAGGACTGCTGACTGATAGGTCAGTGGTTCGAATCCAGGGACAGCAGGTTGATCTCCCTCTGTCAGCTCCAGCTCCCCATGCAGGGAAATGAGAGAAGGATGGTAAAGCATCAAACATCTGGGCATCCCTTGGGCAACGTCCTTGCAGGCAGCCAATTATCTCACACCAGAAGTGACTTGCAGTTTCTCAAGTCGCTCCTGACACAAAAAATAAATGTCAATGATGAACTTTTCTGACAATGTTGGTGGACTTTTCCTTTTATCACTAACCTGTAAAAAAGACTTTTTAGAAAATTGCCAGAATATTCTTCAGTTCACTGCCATCAACATTAGCATAGGGCCCAGAGTGTGGTTCCCAATCCTTGGTCATCTAGGTGTTTGGGGTATTTTAACTTCTAGAAGTCCCAATGAGCTTGGCCAACCATCAAAAATACTTGGAGCCAAAGCCCCAAGCACCAGGAGGACCAAAGTTTGGGAACAACAACAACAATTTTATTTATAGACTGCCCTCTCTCCCCAAGGGGACTCAGGTTGGTTTACACACAAAGAAGGCAAATATTCAATGTCTGAACTCAAATACAAATATTTTAAAACAAACAGAATAATACAAAAATAACAATAAACTTGTGATAAAAGAGAAATTAACACAAAAATGAGGACCAAATACAAATAATTGAATAAACCTAATTATACTAATAACAGCAATTAACCATTTAAACATAAAGCCTAGAAAAGGCAATTAAAATACATTAAAATTACAATCAAGGTTCTTCTGTATATATTTCAGATATCAATATTAATGTCAAAAATACATAGTATGATTTTACATAGGATTTATGCTACATTAGAACAGTAAAGACAAATAAACATTAAATGGTCTAAGAATCCAGAATGTGCCCTAGAGCCACAACTAGTTCAATGTTCCATATTTAAACTGACCTGAAATTTCCCAGAATACATTTTTTCCCTGAGGAAGTTTGTGGATTTTTCTTTTTATAATATTCTAAGGAAAAAGAAGGCTACTTTGCAGAATCTTGCCAGAATATTTTCTATCTAGCGTCCATTGTGACTACTTCAATGTCCTGGAGTTGCATAAAGTGAGCATTATTGCAGAGGATGCCAGGCTTTGAGTCTACTGCCACTGCTAATGGTGAGCTCCACTCACAAGTCCTACAGTTCAATTGCCAGTATGCTTTGGCAGAGGAGACCAAAAGGAGATTTGGGGACAAGGCCAATTCTAGAAAGAATTTGCAATTTTTAATTTGAGATTCAGTGCAACATGCATGCTGC